GCCCCTTTAAGATACTTTATTGTGTACACCTCATCAACGAGATCCTTCACTTGAATTTTTTTCTTTCAAAGCAGCTGCAATTACATGAGAACATGGGATGCTGAGCTTCTGAAACACAAACCATGAGCATGTCCAATCGGCAAGACTCACGAAAAATGAAGATCCTTTTAGATCCTTAACATCATACTCATTGTGATCAACCTTCATCACATCATACCCACCACATCCAACCACATATTTCAAAGCTTGCCAAAAAAAAAACTGCTCACCTTTGGCGCCAAACCTGTGTCCATATCCTTGATCGCTTCCCGACGCATCAAAAACCAGCTCATTAGCGCCCACAGGCTCTGACGGAGCAATAACCAAGTCCAAATCCTGAGATGAGCCTCTGGAGAAAGCCTCAGTATCATCTAGATCAGTGGCACCTGCATCACACTCATTGAGTCTAAGAGTTCCAGTAACATGTCCTTCTTCCTCAGTGACCGCATCACTCTTCACCCCACCATCTGCGGTCTGTCCTTCAGCCATCACAAGGTCATCTCTCATTAGAATCTCCCAAAATACCATTGGCGTCTCCAAAGTCCTCATGTGTACGATGGTGTTTACACCATCAAGCACCGCGGGTGCGGCTGACAGAGCATCGAATTTCGGTGTCAGATGCATGTTGATTTATGGGGGATAGGGTGTGTGATGCTGAACATCACCGCCACCTGCTACAAAGCTAGAGGTAAACTGGATAAATTAATAAGTACATGAAATCTTAATTATTAGCCGAATATTCTTAATATTAACTTAAACTACCAAAATGACAAAAGGAAACACAAAAGCTCACCTTTTGGGTTAGGACCCGAAGTAGGTTGTGCTTTACCCATGTTATCTTCTTCATCATCTATTGCTATTATATCTCGCGCAATAACTTTATAGCGCTGCTCAGTTTAGTGTTGCACAGTGTCGGCCAAGCCCATTTCAAGATCAACTCGATGGAGCACTATCATTCCTTGCTCGTTAAATATCTCTCCCAAAACTTCCAAGCTGCATTTCATCTTGCTCCCCACAACAAGCCCTGAAATAAATGTAGCGTCTTATAAGCGTAATGATAAAATAAAAATATTTTAATAAACATTACTAAGAATCCTAAAGATGCTATACTTACTTTTATACTCTTTTCTAGCATATGTATCTTGACTTTTGTCAACTAAAAACCACCTTCTTCCTACGACGAAGATGTCTCTCTGGTTGAAGTGGTATCTTGCAACACTTTAAGCTCCGATGGTGATCACGAGGATCACCTCACACTCAGCATGACAGGTATGTCAGTGTTTGCAGTTAGGCTAATTGGCAAAGACCTTCTTCCTAGTGAACCAAGAATCCATGTCGGGAACTGCTAAGAGACGACAACTGGTGTACCGACTCCCAAAATGCATCGCATCCTTACTATGCTCATCAAATAAGCGTATGTCTTGTTGTCTCTTATCATCGCTCCAAATCCAAAGTCGGTAGGATCCGGGTGAAAATTTCACACGCCAGTATTATCCTTGTTTCATTCACCACGCCAATGTCATACCAGTTTCCCCATCTGGGAAAGATCAAAAACATCTATTAATTACATGGTTTAGACAAAATCAATGACGAGAATGATCCCATGCAAGACATAACTTCCTAAAACATTTAATCAAAATTATACATTATGGATGTCGGGAAAGCAGTAACCAATCCTAGACCGACATACATGAACAATTAATGAAAGCATTCTATGGATGCAAACAACATGAGCGACAACATAAATGGTCGACATAACACACCTGAGATTCTTCCAAAAACGAAAGGATCGAAAGAGTTTTCAGACATTATTAAAGACGATACAGTTTAGAAAGTGGTAGTTAAGTTGGCGTTCCCCCTCCCCCCCCCCCCTAATTTAACACTTGTTAAATAGAACAAAACCTATACAACACACACACACATAGATATGTATATATATATATATATATTGTATAAAAGGCCTGGCTAACATGCATAATTTACCGCGTGTTCCTAGTGAAAAGGTGTCAGTTTTTTAGGTATTTTACTGGTCATAATTTTCGGCTATAATTACATACGGAGGCTACACAAATACATACATGATTTTGTAAGTATAGTTTTAGAAATGATTACTTGCATGGATACGAACACACAACCTTCAGCTTCTCGCGCACACAAAGAAGAGACATATGAGCGACATCGTCTTTCCTCCTGCTCAACATCTGGGTTCTCTTTTAGGCCTTCATTTAATCTATCTTTACAAATTATTTGTTGTTACTTTATTTTCGGTGAAAATCACTCTTTATTTTATTTAATAGTATCACAAAATTATATTTGGATCCAAAAATAAAATTAGATTTTTAAACATAAAAATAAGAACAAAATAAATGTATTTTACTTAAAAAAAGTATTTTGCATTTAACATAAAATCAATAAATACAGTTAAATATGATTTATATTGTAAATATGACAATTTTCTCAAATAACTATTTTTTAAGTTTTTGTCACAAAATAGTCCCAAAAATAAAATGACCAAAATAGTTTTTTTTTTATTTTTAAATTTGTAATATTTATTTTTTATTTTCTTAAATTTGAAACCTTAAACAGAAAACCCGACCCCTTAACTCTAAATCATAAGTCTAAATTAGTTAAACTAGGTATAACTGAATATTTACCATTTAATATAAATTTATTTTGGTCATTTTCCTCCTTGAGGACTATTTTATTGAAAATAAATTAAAAAGACTATCCACAGAAATTTCTCTTGTAAATAAGTATAAATAAAGATATATATATATATATATTATATTTATATCTATATTATTTTAAAATAAATAAATTACATATCACATACTAATTTTATAATATATTTTTATATATGAAATATTTAATGTTCTACAAATTATTTTATTAAAGAGATTTATGAGATTATAATTTGTTTGCAGCATACAATTTTGTTTTTGACAACAACATAACAAAAAAACACTATTAACTATGCACTGCCGGTTCGGAAAACCAGACCGGAGGAATAGGGTCGACATAAAACATAGAAGAAAGGGAACACCGCGCACCGCGTGCCAGTTTGTCCGACACTGAATTTTGTGCCCTTGGAATATGTCTGATTTTGAAGGTAGGGAAGAAAGTCTTACTGCGGCAAAACTCGTCCAAATGTGTAGTAAAAGCTGGCCACTCTTCAGGTGATGACATCATCTTTACTAGTTGAGAGCAGTCGATTGGAAAAACTACATCTGAGAAATTTAAGGTCTTCATACACTCCATAGCCCATATCAGGGCCTCACACTCTGAATTTAAGGCGGATAAGATTCTTCAGAGATTCATTTCTCCCATCATCTTCTCTTCTGATCCATTCACTCGACATAACCATCCTTGTCCACTGAACTTGTCCTGAGCTCTCCATGCCCCATCGACAAAGCAGACTCTAGAACGTTCTACTGAGAGCCAATCTGTAGATACCTGAGACAGTTTATTCTGTTCCGGAATTGTAAGTTGGGCCTCTGACCAGACCTTACATTCCACTTCTACAATACGAAGAATCTCCTGAGGGTTGTCATTCTTATTTGAGTAAATCTTATTGTTCCTATTCTTCCAAATATACCCCAAAATTCACGGAAAAGAACTAAAATCATGATCCTTAGGCAACCTCCAAAATAGATAGTCCATATTTGTGAAGAGCGCTGGTGTCGAAAATATACCAACAAGAGATGGTATCTTCGACAAAGCCCAGATAATATACGATTTTTATAGCATGATGTTACTGTTTTGTCGTCAATTATACCAATGTAAGATTAAAATTTAAACTAGAAATCATAAATCTTATAAGGACTTGATTGGTAGAGCATTAGCATAAACATTATGCTCTCTATTATCCAATCAACATTTGTCAAAGAAGCATTTAGAAAAGCATTTACCAAATGCGAATGCTCTCCAAATGCGTTTTTCTCAATGCTCCCATATAAAGTCTTTGGGAGATCATTTGCAAATAAAATATAGAAAACTTAAAAATAATTATATATAATTAATTTTATTTTTCTTTAATAATATAAAAATATTTTTATAATAAAAAAATAAATTTTTATTTTTAAAATAAGAATAAAAATAAGAATTAAATATTTTTAAATTTTTAAAAGAACAATATTTCACTTTTAAAATATAATATAATTTATATAATTACAAATATCATTCATTATTTTTAATAAACAAACATAACATAATATATATTTACATATATGTTATAGATTTAAACATATTATATAGAAACTAATAAATAAATTATCATATATTAATTTTTATGATAGTTTTATATATGAATTATTTACTGCTTTACCAATAAATAAATAATAGTTATATATATCTAATTATTTATATAATATATTAGAATATGTTTATATCCAAAAATAATTAAATAATTTTAAATTTTTTTTACATTTTTAAATATAATTTATATAATGAATAAAATTCATTATTTTTAATAAATATATGTTATTAATATATAAATATTATTTTACAAGAAGTATATTATTATACTAACTATTTTTATAATTTCATAATTGTATACTGTTACTGTTCTGCCAATCACTTTATTGGAAACTTTAATGAAAGCATACAATTTATGCAGCATATTGTTAGTGTTTTATCATCTGATGTACCAATCGAGGTCTAATGCAATCAATGACTTTGATTATTAGGTATAAATACAAAATGATAGTATAAAATCAAAACCAATGAATTGAATTTTTACAGTATTTAGAGTGGTGGATGAGTCATTGCTCTAACTAGAGTTAAATTCTCTTCTCATTCATATGAATTGAGTTTGGTAGAGTGGTAAGACTTGGGTTAGATGGCGAAACGAAGGCGTTTTCGGTGGCAAGAAAAAAACAATAACGTTTTTGTTTGCACTCAAAACGACATCGTTTCTCATGTTGGTCCTTTACTCGAATGAGTCGTTCGGATTATTAGCCCTATACGCCTCCATAAACCTCGTGCTTGCTTCACAGGATCCTCTTCTCTCTTTCTAATCGAAAATGGGAACCTTGGGACGAGCAATCTACACTGTGGGTAACTGGATCCGCGGGACCGGCCAAGCTCTTGATCGCGTCGGTTCTCTTCTTCAAGGGAGTCACCGATTGGAAGAACACAGTAAGCCACATTCAAACCCTAGATCCAGTCCATATCTCTCATTCAAGAAAAAGATCTGTTTCATATTTGCTTTGATTGGAGAAATTTCTGGTCTAATCTCAATTCGTTTGGTTGTTTGATTCCAGTATCGAGGCATCGGACGTTGATGGATGTGTTTGAGAAATCTCCGTTGGTGGATAAGAATGCGTTTGTGGCTCCAAGTGCCTCTGTTATTGGTGATGTTCAGATCGGTAAAGGCTCCTCTATTTGGTATGGCTGTGTTCTTCGAGGTAAGGGGCTTTGCTTTCTTTTTTCTTTCGCCTAAAAAATGTTAGTGGTTAAGGCTATATTTGCCTCAATTGGTAGCGTTAAGGCAAAGCGAAATGATGTTTGGTTGAATTGAATCATCATAATACTAACATGTTAGTTTTCTTTGGTCTTTTAGCTGTGATTTTCTCACCCTTTTCCTTGTGAAATTTGAGTATTTGGAAGAAATGAATTTCTCTTCCTCTCATCATTGGTTTTCACCAGATGTTTGTGGTTCTAGATTTAGTGAAATGTTGATGAAATGTCACCAAGTAGGTGTAATTCTCATTCTATATTACTGATGTTGGTTTTATTACTCCTGATACCCTAGAAAATGGGAATGGTATGTCCCAACAAAGAATTAAAACAGGATTTGATTCAATGGAAAACGAATTACTAAATATGCATTAGTCACAATTTAGATCTTTACTGATTTACTTGATTATCCTTTTCATTTGAAGGTTCCAGGTTTCGTGTACTGTTGATAAGACGTTGTCAAGTAGCTGGAACTCTTTGTATATTATTGATATGTGGTTTTAACTTGTGTGCAGGTGACGTTAATAACATCAGTGTTGGATCCGGAACGAATATCCAAGACAATTCTCTTATACACGTTGCAAAAACCAACCTAGGTGGAAAGGATTTACCTACTTCAATTGGGGACAATGTCACCGTAGGTAAACTTTTAAAACTGAATTATTATCAGCTTTTGAGAATCTCTTTTATGTTGTCTTCTGTTTCATGATTCTTACTTAAAATCTCTGTGGGTAAAAATTAAACCGTGCAGGTCATAGTGCTGTCATACATGGGTGTACTGTGGAGGATGAATCTTTTGTTGGCATGGGAGCTACATTACTCGATGGTGTGGTGGTTGAGAAGCATGCCATGGTTGCTGCTGGTTCCCTTGTGAGAGAGAACACACGAATTCCTTCTGGAGAGGTTTCTTTCTGTTCACTTTTTCTTTTGTGGTTTACTGTCTACTGCGTTTGTGATAAAAATTGCACCAATAATCGGCTTTGTCTCTTTCTGAATTGTATTACAACCAGAGAATCAAAGATAGAAGCTTAGGTTTTGTTATAGCTGCCGTAAGCCTAAAAGTACCCAAACCAATATAATGAACCCAGCCCGCACGATTCAAGCTAAGGAAGCAACACCAGCTATAATAATCTGCATTTCAGCCTTAGGTAGTTATAGTAGACCAATAGCTAAGACTTGACTAGCTTAACTTCTTCAAATATACTCATTGTGTCGTTGCTTTACATTTTTGTTTATACACTGTTGCTTACAGAAACGATGTGCCTACAAAATCATATTTCATTTGTCTAGATTTGGAAAACCACCTTTGTTTCCATTGCAATTCTACTGGCTGATGATGAAAAAGTAAACGGGCTTGTTATATTGCTATCTAATCGAAAAATATTATTTACAAATACATTACGTCAAATTAACAATTCATGTGGTAGGTGTGGGGAGGAAACCCAGCAAAGTTCATGAGAAAGTTAACAGATGAAGAGATCGCATATATCTCAAAGTCAGCAGAGAACTACATCAACCTCGCAAATATTCACGCCGCGGAGAATTCAAAGTCATTTGAGGAGATCGAGGTTGAGAGTGCGCTTAGGAAGAAGTATGCACGCAAGGATGAGGATTACGATTCAATGCTTGGGATTGTCCGTGAAACTCCAGCTGAGTTGGTTCTCCCCGACAATGTCTTACCAGAGAAAACTACCACCAGGGTTCCGACTACACATTACTGATTTCACCCGTCTCAGGTTGTTTTTATGACAAAGATTGATTCTCTGGAAATTCAGGAGAGATATTATCTTTTGGTTTTGCACTTTTTTCTCCCGAGCAAGTATCATATTCTTGCTCAATAATGCCGAAAAGAACATGTACTGTTGCATTATGTCACATGTCTTGGGTGAACAATTTCAGAAAGAGGAACTAGTTGCATTCATTTTCAATCTTCTTATGGGTGTTTTTTTCTTTTTAATACTAATTTACGATTGAGAACAGAACTAGGAAATTTAACTCCAATCTTTTGACTGGAAATAATTGCTAAAATAGCCGGTTACCATGTTAATTAACACAACCCTTGAAAAACTTAGAACAGGAGAATTCCTTAAAAATATGTGGACTAATTTTATTTGTTAAGGAATTCACATATTTTACACCTCGTTTAAGATGGTGTTAAATATATTTAAGGAAAATGAAGACAGTGTTACTGTTTAATTAAACATGTGTTAATTAAAATACACAAACTAATTCTCATTTACTAATAAAATACATGAATGATTTTAGATCCATGTTTAATACATGAACTAATATTTGTTTTTCATTAATACACAAATTTTTAAAATTTGTAGTTTACAAATCAATTTAGACGATGTCGACTTTGTTTAACATCATTTAGGCGATGTCAACTATGTTTAACAAAGTGAAAACGATGTTAGTGTTTAATTAAGAGATCCTTACATCTGGTTAAATTATGAAGGAAATATTTCTTAAAAATCATGCCGACAGATTATATTGTTAGCTTTCTTTTCTATTACGCTTCTATGGTGTAATCTTTTTTTGATGAAATTCAAATTTATTGATCATAGTAAAAATAATATATGTACAACCTAATTTCTAACGTTAAACTTATTGAGCGTAGTGTAAATTAACCTTGGTTGAGGCATTATCACTATAATCAAAGCGAAGAATAAGAAATACATAACACTAAACTAATTCCAAATCAAAAACTCTTTTAAAGCTACCTAATTTTTTGTTGTTTTCATGACATGGAAATCAACTCCATTTTGATGCGGTATAAAGGGAAATCAAAGCAAAAAAAAAGAGGAAAAGGAACCGAATTCGGAGAATAAAATAGGTTGGAACAGATTATGGTACTAAATTTGAAATGAAACTAACTTGATTTAGGGCTTAGTCGATTTGGCAATTTTTGGAGGGTGAGCATGCTTTTCACAGTTTGACCACGTGTTAAATCAAAACTAACCTCATCTTCTGTTAAACATAGTCGACGTCACCAAAATCGATGTGTAAAATCTGTAAAATTCAGAAGTTTGTATATTTAATGGAAATCAAAAATTTGTTTGTATATTAAACGGGAATGTAAATAGTTCGTATATTTTATTAATAAATGAAAACTAGTACGTGTATTTTTAAGGAATTTTATTTTCAATTTAAACATGTGTCAAATTAAACACTAACGTCGTCATCACTTCCATTAAATATAGTTAACTTCATCTATAACGAAGTGTAAAATATGCGAATTTCAAAAGTTCATGTATTTAATAAGTAACGAAAATTAGTTTGTGTATTAAATGATGATCCAAAATAGTTCGTGTATTTTATTAGCTAATGAAAATTAGTCTGTGTATTTTTAAAGAATTTTCCCACTTAGAATCCTCTTTTTATTAGAACTTTTAAATTTAATCTTTAACTTCATGTGTAATTAACACAATTGCCATTGTTTTAGGTGTTATCATGAGAGTTTCTCTCACACATTTTTTTTTATAAAAAAAAGTCTGTCTTCCTAGATAAGTTATATATTATGTCATTGGACATTAAAATCAGATAATAATTATACTATATGTTTTTCATCATTTATCATGTGTATATTAACAAAATGTGTGTGTAATATACTACGCAAGAGCATACAATGCGTGTATATGCCAGAACATATAATGCGTGCAAGATAAATGTGTGTGTGTGTAATGTTGTATACACTAACTAAGACAAAATTTATAATATACACACACAAGGAAAAAAACTGCCCACAGCTACATTTTATTTCGTAGCTATAACAGAAACTTCGTAGCTATATACGAGGTTAGCTACAAAAGGCTACGAAAAGCATAACGTAGCTATACGAGCGTAGCAAGAAATTCAACATATCAAAAATCATAGCAAGTTGCTACGATTTTCTACGAAAAGTTTGTAGCATACTATAGCTACGAAGTGCTACGGTTTAATCGTAGCAAGATAATAGCTATGGAATCCAACGATCCCTTCCGTATCACTGTGCTACGAATTTGCTACATTCCTTCGTAGCATATTTGCTATGTAATAGAAACGACCATTTTCGTTTCAAATCTGATTTTGTTCAAACAATAAATGAATTTCGTGGCTAATTAAAAATTTTGATTTTTTTTTGAAAATATTTAATTTGTAATTATAATATACTACAATCAAAATAATTATGAAAATATCATAAACTAAATATATTACATAGAAGTAAGAGTTCTACACAAAATAACATGGTTCAAAAGATGCAAGCAACTAAATTACACAAAATAAGATTGTTCAAAAGATTGAAACATCAAATTACATACCAAGTTCTTTTTGGCACCACCTATCTAAGTCAGATTGGTTAACAGTGGTGAGATGTTCTGGCTGAGGATGAGACTGACCTTGAGCTTGAGGCTGAGGCTGACTTGGTTGTGCAGAAGGAATGGAAGCTTGAGGCTGAGGCTGACTTGGTTGTGCAGAAGGAATGGAAGCTTGAGGCTGAGGCTGAGCTTGAGGCTGCCTTGGTTGTGCAGTTGAGGCCGTAGGAATGGAAGCTTGAGGCTGGAGACCTTGAAATAGAAGAACTTGCAGAATCATGTCCATACTTGCTCTTGCTGCTGACATCTCCTTGAATTCAGTCTTCAAACCACAGATATCAGCCTTGACTTCAGAAATGGTTGTCTCCATGCCACAAACGCGCATCTCCATGTCCAGGTTGCGCTGCAGTGTGACCTGAACTGGAATAGAAGGAGTGCTGTTCTTGAACTGAACACTTCCAAGGCCGTAGACAGTGCCTTTTTTGGTTAATCCTCTCTGCAAAGGAAAGCAAAAAGCACCATAAGCAAGCAACTACCAGATCCACGAAGATGAGGATATGACTTCTATCTAATAAAAACACTAAGCAGAATGAATCTATAGAATAACCAGACAACCAAACATGACGACCATAAAATTTTTATCAAGTAACAAAATAGATAAACATGTCCAAATAATCAACCAGGGTAGATAGACACAAAAAGAAAAGTGTAAAATCCTTTGGATTGGGGAAAAGATAGATAGATATAAATAATTTATTTATTAATTAATATCATTCATATACAGCCAAACAATTACCAGATCCTATCTCAAGTTAGATAACTAACTAAGACATTCAAGTACCAGCAACAAGTAAGAAAAAATAAACATAATGAAGAGGTGAGATGATTACCTTGATGTATTCTTGGTTGAGCAGAAGGTGCTTTGAATTTGAAGTACCAGCAGCAGAGTCACTGTCACCAATTGATCTATTCCGTATCATCTCTTGTATTATCTCTTCAACGGCTTGCTCAACCTCTAGCACCAGTTCCTCAGAACGTTGGTCAATGAAGGAACCATCTTTACCCATGTGAGTCTTACTCACAAGGGCTGTATATGAAGGTGGTTCATCCAGACCCTCATCAACCATCTACAAGAAAGATAACAGAAGGAAATTAGACAAAATTTAAGGCTAAAACTTAAGGGAAAAATTTAAGGAAAAAACTAACCATTCTATACTCAATATTTAAGAAGCATCGTGGTCCTGCACTGTGCTTGTACATATCCTTCCCTGGAGGAGCATAAGTGCGAGATTTAGCTGCTCCCTTGCTCTTTTTTTTTTAGCTTCGTCAGCGCCCCAGTCCTTAAGGATTGTTTCCCAGTCAGTCTGACTGATGCGTCCGCAGATGGTCACTCGAGTTTGTATCTTCCATTTCAAGTAGATTAGATCATGAAACTGATCTTCCCAGTAATAGTGTTGCTACAAAAAAAGATAAGTCATCATCAGAAGTAAATATTATTAAGTAAATTGAGAGTTGAGAAAGGGAAAAGGAGATAGAAAGAACCACTTACAATGAAGGTATGCCACCACAATTTAGTCTTCTCATTTGGAACATGTGTCCAGCCTCGCCAAGGCCCCCAAAAGTTTCCCTGCCATGTATCTCGGATAAAAGCATGGACTTCAGGATCAATACCGAACCTGAGACAAGACAATGTCAGGAATTAAACAACATTCATATACCAAACGCTTATAGTGCTTTCATTATTACATAATTATTTAGTTGAATTTATAAATGTAAATAAATTTTATAGTGCTTACATAATTATATTTTTTATTGGAAAACTAACAGTTACTTATAAACTAACCACAATGCTCCATTGAGCTTGTCAGGATGGAGGTGTTGCTGGTTACGTCTGGATGGAGCACGTAGGAGAGAATCTTCTCTTCTCCTGACATAGGGAGCAGGAGGCGCAGACACCCCAGTTAGAGAACCCGCAGGTGCATGAGGGCTGGCTCCAGGAGGTACAAAGCCAGAAGGTACAGCTCCAGGAACATAAGTTGGAGAGATAGCTGGAGGCCTCGAGGTGTTGGGAAATTGAGCTCTCCTCTGTCTACTATATGTAGACAAAAAAAAAACATAAGAGTAAGAAGAAACCCAAATCAAAAAAAAAAACAATGAAACTTGAAATCAAAACCCTAATATAAACCCTTGAAATCGAAACCCTAACCTAAACCAACGTTGAAATCGAAACCTACAAAACACTAAATTGAAACCCTAGCCTCTGTAATCGAAACTGTAAAAGAGAAACGAGAGGCTAGCTAACCTAGGAACTCCGATTGGGGAGACCGAGGGCGACGACGGTTTTGGTCTGAGGTTCCCGTGGAATGAGCCATCGAAGTTGAACAGGCTGAGAGAGACAGGACGAGTCTGAGAAAGACTGCGAGAGACACGACGAAGAGAAAGTGGTTTGTGCTTTGTCTTTAGGTTTTTTTTTTCGTTTGTCGGCGAGAGTGAGAGAGAGAGAGATCCGAGTGTTAAGAGAGGAGAGTGAACAAAAATTTGCTTATATGCTGATATTGGGCTGGGCCAAAAGGGCGGGGAGGGAAATGTGTTTTAGGTTTAGGAGGGAAATAAGTTTTGGGTTTAGGAGGGAAATGTGTTTTTGGTTACATTTTTGGTCGATTTTTTTTGTAATATATTAA